TGGGGTGGAAAAGTAAAAAATGAGGGGAGATATCTTACTCTTAGATCGTAAGCCAAACCAGTTGGTGTGTACAGTAGTGGGCGTGGTGGGAGGGGATAAATGTTGGACGGATAGTCTAAGGTGGGCTTGCAGACCATTGGACCAGGAGAAAGGCAATAGGATCAGGCAAACCCAATTCACAAACATAGTTTTGGGCTGGACTACAGGATTTGAGCAAGCCCAACTTTCAAAGTGGAAAGAAAGTTGATCCAAAGCTTTCTACCCTTATTTCTCATGAGATATGTCCTTAATAAAATAGCTTGAATTACGGTGACAGACTCAAATCTTGAAGGAGTAATCGACACAAGTCTGAATATGTCGCAACAAAAAAAAAAAAAACAGGCTTATGCTTTTGGGCCTAACAATAGGCTTTATCCTAGAGATGTTGGCTTGTTGCATTGTGAAACTAGCAGCAGCAATTTGGTTTGGCAAGCACTTCAATGTACTAATATGTCTGTAAACTCCCCAAAACACAAAAAGAGAAGAAGTCAATGAGCAAGTTATAAGAGAATCAAATGTACACATCTTTATCCTACGGGAGGAAAGTTTGTTGATGTGTCTCGGATTCATGACTTACACATAGGGATGGCAGTGGACTGGGGAAAAACGGATATCCGTCCAAACTCGACCTATTTGGACCGAGAATGAATTGTATGTATTGGATGGTGGACGTATATGAGGATACCCGTATAAGCCGGTACAGGGATGAAGGCGGGGATGAACTTACCTTTACCCCCGCCTCGCCCTCGCCCCTCCCCACCCCACCCCCCTTATATATATATATATATATATATATATATATATATATATATATATATATATATATATATATATATATATATATATATATATATATATATATATGCAAGCCTTAACTAAACATATTTATTGTAACTACTAATTTAGAAATATGGTAATCAAACTAGCAAGTGACATTGCTATGTGGTAATCTTATAAACTTTTTTTCCTGATTATTTTTTTTCTATTTGTGTTCACTGATTGAAACTGTTAGGAGTTTGGATTGACCATGCTCTAAAAACAGATAAGAGAAAGTAATATAGTTTTACATTTCATTGTGGATAAAAATATTGTGAATGGAGGTTGATAAGTTTTTCTGCTAGAGTGAACTAAGAAATTGAAAAAATTATTGAATTAGCAAATTTTAAGTTTTCATCTTTTAACACTTTATGACTGTAATATGAATTGTAATAATAAAAATTATTCTATGAAACTTCAAGTGTAGTGCTATCGTTTTCTTAGTTCAATTTTTTTTTTCTTCCTTTCCCTCTAATAGTTCCGTTTCTCTTTTTGTGGTCCAATGACACTTTAAACATAATACTATATTGTTTTGACTTTTACGTTATGTAATTTAGATTATTCACTAGATTATTTAGAATGTTGTTGGATTATTTAAAATATTAGATTTATTTAGAATTTTGGATTATGCTATTTGGACTTGAGCTTAAGCGAGTATGAGAAAGCAGGGACGGGGACAAGGATTAAAAATTTATCCGTGGATGGAGATGGGGATAAAAATTATACTCGTTAACGGGAGTGGACCAGGAATGAATAGAGTTTTTTTAAGCGGGTACGGGGATGAAGACTACACTCCCCGCCCCCGCTTCGATTCACTGACATCCCTACTTACATATCACAAAAAAAGTAATTTTATTGTGACACGAAAACTTCTCAAATTTTCACTATAATGTTATGATGTTGCCCTGCTACATTTCCCTTTTCATATTAGGTGGTATATATATAAAATAAAAAAAATCTAGTAAATAAAAGCAGCTTGCTGTCCTCTAGAACATTTTAGGCAAAAGCATTAGACCCAGTTGGCTGCAAAGAATAATTTGAAGAATTATTAAAAAAAAAAAAAAAGATGGAGTCAGTTTCACATGAGCAGTGGTTGCCATTTGCTAGACTCTCACCTTTCATGCCCCCCCTCTCCTCTCTTTCTTTTGATATATGATTCCCACATGCATAAGACGTGTCCCAGGCCTGGACCATTCTGTCAATTTCTTCATTGTCTGCAATTTCAAATGCTCACCATTAAATTATCATTAATATAGATCCTACTTGTAGATACTATTATTTAAACGAATTTGACTATTTAATTCAACAATAACAACTAATTAAGATAATGTGCTTCTTTGGAGCTACCTTAAATAAATAATTTTTAAGAACTTTAGAGTAAAATAAGTCAAGTCCGTTTGGATCTTGGCTTTTTTACTAACCCATGTGACAATTTCTTGGACCCAAAAAACTTATTTAGGCCGATTTAAGAGGCTGAATTTAAGATTTTTTTTTTAATTTTTTAGAATTTTGTTGTGGGTCTCACATAATTTTTTAGTTTATTATAGTCATAAAATATTATCAATAACGTAAAAAATTAACATTAATATTTTGAGAATTATTATGTATAATCTATACATACATAAAATTATTTTTTTATTTTAATACAAAAAGCAAAAAAGGTTAAAAAGCCACTACAAATAAACTTTTTCAACTTTTTTAGTTTTTTAAAAAATACCCCAAATGATTTTGGAGGATTTTTTTAACTTTGATTTTTTTTACAAAAATTTTCGAATGACAATTTTCATCTAAAAAAATTACCACCAAATAGGCCAAATATATTTCCGCTTTTGTTGTGCTTTGAGCTCTTTTTTTCTTTTACATTGTCGTGGGTTTTTGGTTCTTAATTTACTGATTTAATTTATTGTAACATTTAGATTCACCGTAGACCCTATCAAACATTACAACTTTGTATTGATTCAATGATTCCCATGTATTCATATTATTATATTAACAAATTAGATCAAATTTTTAAGTCAAAATAGTATTAATATAATAAAAATCATAATACTCAAAATTTTATTATACGAATATATTTATTTATCACCATGCTATAATCAGTTTGCGCAGCCCTCACGCACCTACAAAAGGAAAACGTGGTGGGTGCGAGGTGGGGTTGGTTTTTGTTTTGTGGGCCTTTTTTAGTTGGGTTAATCTCATTTTATACTCTGAAAGATCGTTCGAATTTTAATTTATACCCTAAAAAAATAAAAATTTAAATTTACACCCTCAAAGATAGAAATTTGTATCAATGTGCACCCCCAAAGATCAAAAATCTCAATTTACACCCTCAAAGATAGAAATTTGTATTAATGTGCACCCCCAAAGATCAAAAATCTCAATTTACACCCTCAAAGATAGAAATTTATATCAATGTGCACCCCAAAGATAAAAAATCTCAATTTGCACTCTCAAATATAGAAATTTGTATCATTATGCACTTAAAACTAAATTGATAAATTATATCTAGATCTCCTCATGTTTGTCACTTAATCATTTGGACCTCTTTACATTTAAAATATTACTCCTACATCTCATAACATTTATGCACGTACAATATGTAACTCATTTTCATTAATATCTGTTAATATAACCGTTAAAAAATATAACTTTATCCTAATAAAAAATTATAATTTCATATTACCCTTATTTTATGGGTCCAATATACTCTAAAATTCAAAATCAAGCTTACCATTTGAATGTCTAATAAAATGTAGATATTTATATAATGTTTTTCATATTTTCCTTTATATAAATATTTACATTCTATTAGACATTCAAATGGTAAGTTTGATTTTGAACTTTAGAGTATATGGAATCCACAAATAAAGAGTAATATGAAATTATAATTTTTTATTAAGATAAAATCATATTTTTTAACGATTATATTAATAGATATCAACGAAAAGTGGTTATCTTTACACATGTATAAACGTCATGAGATGTAGGGGTAATATTCTAAATGTGAAGGGGTTCAAATGATTAAGTGACAAACACGAGGGGATCTAGGTATAATTTATCAATTTAATTTTAGGTGCACATTGATACAGATTTATATCTTTGAGGATGTAAATTGAGATTTTTGATCTTTGAGGGTGTACATTGATACAAATTTCTATATTTGAAGGTATAAATTAAAATTTTGATCTTTAGGGGTACAAATTAAGATTCGAACGATCTTTCAGGGTAGAAAATGAGATTAACCCTTTTTATTTGCCCACACACTTTGTTCGACTCAGTCCCATTTCGCGCTTCGTTGGCGGTTTCTTTCACTCGAAGCTCTGAGCAGTTTGCAAATACACTCACAGTATTCAGGTGAACAGAGTGTTTGCGTATTTGTGTCGACGGAAATAAATATATGAGTTTGTGTTTGTTTCAATAGAAATTGATCGTTCCTTGTGCTGGGCAATGGACTTGTGGTTTCGATTTGTTATGCTTTATAGTGAATACATCGTTGTTAAGATATGAGAATCAGATTGTTACATTTAGTGCTGTTTTCTTTCGATGATCCTAATTTGTAATGATTTATGTGAAAGCCGTTTCTGATTTTATGTTGGAAGGTGAATTCTAAATCCGGAATCAATTTCTTGAATTCCGTTTCTCATTTGAGGAAATTGCCGAAATCGATTGGAAGTTTCTAGCCACACCTGTTAATAATTCTATGATTTGGAACCGTTTATGTACAATGTTGTTTATATTAGTTCTTTCTGATTGCTTGCTGGAGTCGACATATGCATTGTCACTTTTGTTGCATATATATGAATATGAAGGCTGCTATTGATTCAACTGCCTTACTGATAGCTTGAATAGTGTTTTTTGTATGAATAAATGATGAAATTAGAAATAATAATCTATATTTGTCTTGTCATAGTAAAGCATCTGCTAATAGCAAATAGTAATTGACCCAAAGTTCTTTGAGTATGTAGAATCGAATGCTCGTAGCATAACATGTCATGATTAGCATCGTAACTTATTGTTGTTTCTTAACATAGTCAACTGAAACCCTACTTTACTGACCTACATTGTAATATGTGCCACTCCAGTTGCATTGGAGTAAGTTCAATTTGAATTCGGGACTATAATAGTTTTGTGTATTGCATTACAGGATGGGCACAGGGAGGAGGACACAGACTTTCATGCCGAATGAAAGTGCACCGTTTGATCCAAATCAATCTGCTAGAAATTTGAGAAAGATTCACCTTGGTGGTGTCGTATTTGGTTGCAAGAACAACACCATAAGAGAATGCCTTGTTAAACAACTCTTTGGTCAGTCATCTAGATTCCATTAGCAGTTTTGTTGTTTATAATTTAGGAGAACGTATACTGTATGATGTGCTTTTGAATGCAGAATTCTCCGACTCTGTGGCAAAGTATCTTTTGAGAAGCATGTGATTTCTGGTTTTTGTTTGTCAATATTTTTGACTTCATCTATATGTTCTAAAAATCTGACAGGCTTACCAGCTCAACATTTTTCATATGTCAAGAATATTGACCCAGGCTTGCCGCTCTTTCTATTCAACTACAGTGATCGCAAACTTCATGGCATCTTTGAGGCTGCAAGCTCTGGACAAATGAATATTAATCCATATGCATGGACTGTGGATGCTTCAGAGAGAACACTATATCCTACTCAGGTATTCTGTGAGGCTCCCTTTACACCATTTATTCTCTTATTGTGGTCTGTATTGTCTTGAGACATACTTGATTATGGTCAAGGCAATACTCTAAAACTTATATATTGGTGTTTGTATGCACAGGTTCAGATCCGTGTCCGGCTGCAATGCCAACCATTGCTTGAAGATCAGTTTAAGCCAGTAATCATGGACAACTATTTTAGTCACAATCATTTCTGGTTTGAGCTGGACCACGCTCAAGCAAGTAGATTGATATCTATATTATATTCTCAAGCTGTTGCTCCGAGTACCTTGGTACCAAAGAATATAGCAATGTGGGGAAATACAATCCCAGGCTTGCCCTCTACTGACAGGAGAGAGGAAAAAGGTTTGGGGCCTCCAGCTTCAGAGGTTGATCTTGCTCGTTTCAATAAGTCAAATGGGAATGTGGGTACTTCAGATGCTTCTCTCTATATAGATGGCAAAAACCAGCCACTGGAAGCTTGTTTCGGTAATCAAGTGTCAGAGAAGGAAGAGAAGGAACTCATGTACATGAAATTAAAAGAACTGGCTCTTAACCGTACGCATTCAGACTCGCCTTTGATGGAATGTTTAGGTGAAAAAGTAGCTGACATGAACTTGGGGCACAAAGTTTCAGTAGAGGCAGAGACATTTTCTGGGGAGAAAAATGAGAAGAATGAAGAAATTTCTTTGAACTCATCAGATTATCCTTCCATCATAGCTCAGGTACTTGACCTTTCCATAGTATTCAAGTGTGTATGATTTTCTATCATAAGCATTTCTAGTATATCTTATTCTATTGAGGTATGTCCCCTTATTATTGTGATGTTAAACTGCAGTTGATTCGAGAAATGGAAGAGCTAAAGGTTTTTAAGACACAGCAAATTCAAAAGATGGGTTATTTGGAGCAGAAGCTGGTATTCTTTGTCCTTTCATAATTCTTAAACTTGGCAACTATGTGGCAATGATTTAGAATACTTTATTCCAATATATCCACTGTCCGCTGAAATTCTTGTCATTTTTCCGTGGTTACTTGCATGATTGGTCTTTGAAAACTTTCAAGAGGATAAATATTTCTGGGAATTCCCAAGTGGGAAAATGGAAAGCTGGGGATGAAGTAGGTGTTTTGTTATACATCTAAATTAAGGGCTATGTACTTGATCTCACATGGGGAAGTGAAGTCAAAATAGGTGGAGTTAGAGTAGTTATCATATGGATGATTGATTAAAAGACAGCGGGCCACAGTAATAGCCTTCCTGGAAACATAGGTGAATGTTGGTAGAATTGGAATCTGGAGTAGTTGCATAGGGAATATCAATTCCATAGGTTATTAAGGTAGTACAGAATTACTATTAAGATGAAAACGGTAGGCATGAATCGTCTAAAAATCTCTTTTGCTTCATCCATCATGCTAATGAGGTTTTAGCTGATGTTAGGTGCAGTTTAGTTGTCTTCTTTTACTACTCTTTTTCATTGTCGACTTCTATTATCCTTTTTTTGCTCCTTTGAATATCTGACTAATTTGAAAGTATAATACTCATGAAATTGACTGCTGTCCCGTGTTTTATAAATATGGCATGTATATTTGGTTTCACTAAGAGTGGTGCATATCTGTCGTGTTTCTGCTCATTATGTTCCGTACCTTTACCGTGGATGTGGAATTTCAGGTTGAAGCAGAAAAAGAAATTGGACTGCTAAAGGATGGATGTACAAAGTTGGAGTATATGACTAATCCTGTTGAACATGCTGATGCAACTATAATGGAGTCATTTGATGAGCTTCCCCTTGAGCTTGACGAGCTGATACTTCTTGTGGGAGGATATGATGGTGTATCATGGTTATCAGCATTGGATGCCTACTCACCTTCGAAGGATATGATAAAGGCTCTTAAGCCAATGGGCTCTGTTCGCTCTTATGCTTCAGTTGCAAGGTTGAATGGAGAGCTTTATGTTTTTGGTGGTGGAAATGGTTCTTTGTGGTATGACACAGGTATCACTTGATCTGTATATCTCTGGCTCTCTCTCTCACTCACTCTCTCTCTCTCACACACACACATCATTTGCTACTGACTTTGCTACTGGATTTCTCTGAAGTTGAGTCATACAACCCAGCAAATAATCAATGGACTCTGTGTCCTTCTCTAAATGAGAAAAAAGGAAGCTTAGCAGGTGCAACTCTGAATGGCAAGATTTTTGCGCTTGGAGGTGGGAATGGGATTGAATGCTTTTCAGATGTTGAAATGTTTGATTTAGATGTTGGTTGTTGGATTTCAACACGGTCAATGCTACAAAGGGTAATTCCTGTAATTCTTCTAGCTTGCCTAATCGTTTAGAACTTGATCCATGTAGGGGCAATATAATTGTTTTTAACTTTGTCGCACTCAAGTATGTCTCATCTGAGGCACTGTTTTAGAAGGTCCATTGTAGACTTTATGTTGTATATGTCATATTCAGAAGAATAGTTGTTGAGACATGTGGATAGGAAAACACAAAACCTGCTGGTACATGATCATAAACTTTTGGAATAACAAAAAACTAAAAGGATATCATTGTGTGGCAACTAATAGGAATCTTCAGGACATCCTGGATCTAGCACTTGAAAATAAATAGTTTCCATAGAGTGTAACATATTGAAAAAACTTTTTATTCGGAGGCTCAATATTCTTTGTAACTAGTTTCTACTTTAGGATGCACCATTTTGCATTTAGATTTTTTTTATTTATTTTTAGTTATCCTTTAATCCCTTGGTGTGCCTAATTCCTAGTTTGTACAGCGATTTGCTCTTGCTGCAACAGAGCTAAATGGTGTGCTCTATGCTGTTGGTGGATATGATGGCAAGGATTACTTGAAGTAAGATATAAAGCCACTTAGCTTTCTGATTTACACAGGCACACATATTTCACGCCAATATGCATGCTACACACAAACACATTTATATTTGCATCAAACAAGGCCTGCAACAGAGGCTTTTTCAGCTAGAAAGATCTGAGATGCTTGCCACATTGAAAGATGGTCCATAATATCTCTCCTGCTAACATCTTTTTGCATACCTCTGAGAATTATGCTATCTCAGGTCTGCTGAAAGGTTTGACCCCAGAGAACATTCCTGGACCAGAATTGAGAGTATGAATATGAGGAGGGGCTGTCATTCATTGGCTGTTTTAAATGAAAAATTGTAAGTACTTTCCCTCTCCTCCCTCTCCTCTCCTCTTATTTACTTATTTACGCAATACGTGGGGTTTGGTAGTGCAGCTCTGCTCAATAACTGACATGCCACCTGGGTGGCATAGGAATTGCATTCAGATTGTGTTTGAAATTAAATAACACTCTTTGTCATTTTTTATTTATTGCATTAGAGATGAAACTCTTGCACATGACACGTGCAGCACATTTGGAAAAGGCTACACCTAAAAGATGCCTGTTCTTTTATAGGTGAAACTATCAAATTTATTTTTTGATTATTTTCCTCATTTCTCGTAAAGTATGAAAGTAATGGACTGCCATTACTGCTGCCAAGTGCCTTGAAGAGTTCTCTAAAATTTGGAGGGAAATGTCCTACTAGTTAGATTGACGTAGTGATAAATGAGGACTGCTCCAAACAGACTGTGACACCCATTTGGGCACTATATATTGTAACTTGGCCAATATCTGTTGAAGAAATCATATCCAAGAGATGCGGGAAAAGTATGAGCATTAACGTGATTATTTAAATTTCAGTATACTCATGAGTATAAGATGAGCAATTTATCTTGCAGATATGCTCTGGGTGGTTATGATGGAAGTACAATGGTTCCAAGCATTGAAATTTTTGACCCTCGTCTTGGGACTTGGATGACCGGGGATCCAATGAACCAATCCAGGGGATATTCAGCTGCAGCAGTTGTGAAGGAATCTCTTTATGTGATTGGAGGAGTTAAATCTGGTGATGAGATTGTAGACATGGTATGTTATATCTGGCCATTGTTTTCATTGTTTCAAGATGTTATCGCTTGAATTGTTATTGTCATATGACTTCCCATACCAATGCAATGCCAGGTTGAATGTTTTAAGGATGGTGAGGGTTGGCAAGCAACCAACTTGAAAGCCATTGGTAGAAGGTGTTTTTCCTCGGCTATTGTTTTAGGACAGGATTAAGCGGTACCTTCTGAATATGAGAGCTTATGGATTTTCATCAATTCAAGATAGAAGTTGCTTCATCTCAGCCATTGTTTTACCAGGGTTATGGGCTGGGGAGTAATATGCAATCCAGCCTTGTTGTGAAGTTACAGAATGGTCAATCATGTAATCAGTTTAATGGCCTTGCTTTTGCTGTTTTGCTGTCCAAGCACCCTTTTCTTGTTGGTTGAAGATGACACTTAATTCAGTGACGATCCTACCATCACGTTTAATACAAACTAAAACAATGCTAAATTGCACGTCAGATATTATTTTCAACTTTCTTTTGATATAAAACTAAGTAAAAGGTACTAATGGGTCTTTAGCCAATAAGGGTTCAAATTTTTTAGTCAACAAAAAACATGCTTAGTTGGTGCGATGGATTTTAGTTGTTTGGACGAATCATATTTAAGTTTTTAGTATGGGTTTGAATTAGGGGTGTCAAACATGCCAGGTTAAATAATTACGTGTCGGGTTAAACGGGTGACAGGTAGAAAATATATAAATCTGTACACGACACATTTAATAAACAAGTAAAAAATCTCAACATAAATATGACCCGTTTAATAAACGGGTAATATGATATGACTCGTTTAATTTATTTAATTTTAAAAAAATTATATTAAAAATTTTTAATACTCCACTTTTTTTTATTGTCAACTGTACTTGCTTCATAAATAAGAAATTTTTAGTTAAATTTCATAAAATTAAGATTTGAAAGCTTTAAAAAAAAAAAGTAATAGGACATTGTTTTTTATAAACAACTTAACCCTCTCCATCTCTCCTCATTTTCCACTGTGGGACAAAGACAAAAGACATTGTTTTGTCTTTGTCTTTGAAGTGTTCTTCATCTCCTCTCTTTTGTCTTTGAACTATTATTTTATTTTATTTTTATTAATTTTTTTACTTCTTTTTTTTTTGCTAATTTTTTAAAATAATTATTAATTTATTATTATATTAATTTTATTTAAACGGATAAACGTGTGTTAAAACGGTTTGACAGGTCTCACCAGAACACCACCTGTTTATTAAACGTGTTTGGTGTGTAAACTCGTTTATCACCCAAATTCGTTAAGATTTCATTCATACTCACTTAATTCGTGTCGATTCGTGTCGGTTACTCGTATCGTGTTGAATTTTGACAGTTTTAGTGTGAATTCCTACTTAAGCACAAGTCTTAATTTAAATAGTATATAAATTGAGAGATTGATTTATGCATTCAGAATTTGCCTTTAATTTTATTCGTACTCATGAATCTGTGCGACATAAGCACACTTTTATTTATCGGGGACATACCAAGGATTTTTATCCGTTATACAAGGAAAATAAAACACCAAGTGCAAGGAGGAATTGTCATGTCGCGGACAACTCTGTAATCTCGGACAAAGTCTTTTTTCTCATTCCCAATTCTAGGATGGCACTTTTGCATTGCTGGGAAAATAAAATCAAATTTTATGGCCAAGTGAATCATCTATATTAGGGTTGTTCAAATTTTTGATTCGCTCTAATTTTATATCCTACTCTATTCTACTGAACGGTTAGCCGCAAAAAATCGAGTAAGAATACGAAAGAATTTTTGGTCTTTCAATTAAATTGGGTAGAAATGTGGAATACCTATCAATTTCCGCAATTTTACCCTACCATAATCATAAAAAATATATTTAACTTTTTTATATATTTTTTTAATAATTATAAGAGTATTTGTGTGGTATAATTTATATTATAACATTGTTATTGTTGTAGATGTTTGAGTTGCTAAAAAATAGACTTGTTTTTTTGTGTAAATTATATGATTTGTGGTGAACTGGTGATCTATTAAAACAATATGATTATAATGTATTTCATATGGTTTAAATTTAAAATAATTGTTATTGTATTTGTGTAACAGTTATGATGGATTGATGTTCATGCTTTCTTATGTTTTATTATAATTATTGTTGCAGTTATTTTAAATTTTAGTGTTATTGATTTATTATGTTATTAAATTTGTGTATGTTATTTAATTAAATTATTAAAATGATCTAAAAATTAATAGCTACAAAAGTATTTACTCGATTTCCTACCCTATTAATTGGATATGATAGGTCAAAATAAATTCTTTCTTAAAGTATCGAATAGAAAAACGAAAAATTATATTTTTTACCTGTAAAATAATGTGAACACTCCTAATTTATCCGTACATTTATGAATTTAAATATATACTTCTCGTCTGTACTATTTTCCCATCAATAACAAGCTGGACCCGACTAGACATGATTGAGTTTACAAATTGATCATCTTGGTGCTTTTCCAGTGCGCAAAAGTACCCACTGACGTGGCCATGATGCCCTCCAGCAAAAAACACCACAATAGGGCGGGCGGGGTGGTCTATTGGACCAGATGGGCGGTAGATTTCTTGGATTGACAAAAATCTTTGGAAGGATTGAAACTTTCTGATGTATTTGCATTACATAGAGTTTGAATTATAAATAATTTATAATATTGTGTTTGATTTGAGCTAATTTAAATGAGTAATACTAAATGAATTTAAAAATTAAATTTGATAATCTCAACCATTAAATAAGTAATAGGTCTCAATAAATACTGGGACCCACAGTAAAATTAATGGTAAAAATTATCAAGTTTAATTTTTAAATTTAGTCCATATAACTTTGCTCAATTTAAATAGGTAGATTTTACTTTTAAAGGACGTCAGTTCCGTTTACAACTTCGCTTGTTTACCCTTTTTTGCAACAGTTTTTTGGACACCTTGGTTTTGTTACTGGTCTCATATAATTTTTTAATTTATTTTATTCATAAAATATTATTAGTAACATAAACAAATTTGAAATTCATATTTTAGAAACTATTTCTTTTTATTTTAACACAAAAAACCAAAAAAGTTAAAAAATCACTCTAAACAATTTTTTTTAACTTTTTAAAGAATACTTCAAACGATTTTTAAAAATCCGACTTTTTAACATAACTTTTTACATCACAGATTTTTACCTATCGTAACATTGTTTTTGTTCATGTAAGTACCAACTAATATCATCGACGACAAAGAACTAAGATCAGTTAATGGAACATTGAACAAAGAGCACAGATGTGAGCTATCGTTTGAGCATAGAGTTAAGCTTTCATCAAAATCTGAACTTCCTGTGAAGGAAAATAGGGCTATATGAATCAGAACATGACCTGCTAAACAGGGTAGCTAAAAGCTACGTGACCAATTCATGGACGGCAAGCAAGCATGAAGTGATCAGCTCCAAGACTTCAATGCAGAAGATATTTTTCGGCAATGACATCGACATAGTCTACTGCTGTTTTTTTCATGGGACCCCACTCATTGGAGTTAACCACGAATGTGCAAATCGAACAAGAAAATATCACACTACATAAAAAAAAAAGACCCGATACATAACACTATCGCCATTGTAGAATTTGAAGAGGATTAGATGTACACAATCTTACCTCGGCAAGCAAAAAGAATGTTTATGTGACTCGAACTTGTAATCTCTAAGTTACAATAGAATAAATTTACAGTACTATTAAAAGCCGCCCTCAAAATATCACACTAAATGGAAGGAGAAAAACATGGGCACTATGGTTCTGGTCCGAAAATGGCTTAGTTTCATGGGTTCTGGTCCCAGGTATAGATTGGCCAAAGACCACCACGAAAAATTGGAGGTCCTCCACTTCTTCGTAACACACATGGGCGGAGCCAGCATACGCCCGGGGGTCACATACCTACCCTCAAAAATTTTTTTCTTCAAATTATTTATATATATTTTAAGTATTTTTTCAATTATGTCTATTCTATTTTTTTAGAACATCAATTAGTATACACTCATATTAAATGGATTTAAACAATCAGTGGCAACGCTACGGTGCTTCTAATTCACGATAATTTTTGATCTAACATTTTAGTGATTTAGTTAAAAAAGATGTTTAAAACTAGAAAAGACATAATATAAATATTTATTGGTTTATTTGTGATTTTGATATTTATTTTGTTAATTACAACATACATTATAGAGTGCACATTTGACTGCATAATCTAATGAATGATAAATAATGAATTAATAGCATAATTGTATATATAAAGAATAAAAAAATTGTTATGCAACAATTTCAAAGTATGAAAATTCATCGTAATCAATTTTAAATGATTTTAATTAATCTATATTTTATAAAAAGATATAATTAGTCCTTTTTTTTGCTATTGTCATTTTTATATATCATGCTTACCATTTTTTAATGAACTTTAAATATTAAATATGATGTAATTAAAATAAATTATTATAATATTTTTATCAATTGTAAGAAAAAAAAATTAAAACTTGGTGTCCATCCAGATACGATTTTCTGACTCCGCTCATGCATAAACACATAGCTTGAATGGTTTTTTAATTTCATTTCCAAGTTGCTCCTACGATTTCTAAAGGATTTAGGGTGAGATTTAGAACTTAAAGCCTAAAGTTGGTAACAAGGTGCCATATGAGTTGATAGTAAGCAAAATAACATTTAGTAAAATTATGAAATGTGTTGTATGATAGAGGTACTCTTGCGTTGCTTAGCACACTTTGTATATCGAGAGATGAGCTGGAACCTATTCTGTCTAATTCTTTTAATTATGAAGAGTTTTTGAGAACAAAACATTCGGAAAAAAAATCCACTGACGTTTAGAATGGTGGTTGGAAGCCAAAACAAGTGGCATGTTACCACCATCAAGTGGGGTGGTCCAACGGGGTATTGATCGAATTTTTCACTTCGAGGTTTGAACTTTAGAATCCACATTAAGGCTCGGTGGTTGATCGCTATATTAATCTAACTAAATTTGTTCCAGAAAGGAATAACAAACATGATTAGAGACCTCATAATCTCACCAATGATGATTTATCAGAGTGATCTTTGGGCGATTTTCTTTACCCCACCCTTTTGAACAAAAAACAAAAAAGTGGCATGTTAGCTCTTGGGCCAGGGTGCATCTTCAATATAAATGCCTTGGGACATAGTTTGTGCTAATCTCTAATCTTTGGTTCAAATTTTGAATAGAGAAAATATTGTGCTGCTCATATTATATTTCAAATTCTTGATTCTAAATACATTTGCACCATACATTGAATCAAAAAAAAGTTAATTTTTTGGGACCCACAACAAAATATGTGTCGTGCAAATGCATAAAGAATTTGATATATGATTTTGACAAGGTACCATTTCTCTTTAGGATATTTAAATTCTTATTTTTCTACCTAGACCTTAAGGTCATAAATTCGAATCTCGTCGTACTTATTTATGTAATAATGTCTGACAAAAAAAAGTAAAGGCTTTAGTGGCCATGCCACAGCGATGATTCAGCATTAAGATCATCAATAAACGAAGAAAACGTTGGAGAAAGGATTAGTTTGGTTACATGCTCTGTAAAGGACATTTCATACTCAAACATAAACATAAACAAACATTCTGTGGTTTGACGTCTTTTTCGGTAAGTCTTTGGTCTGATGTCTCGAAGAAACTAACCATTTTTTTTACACGTGCATCACATGTTTAAATAAATAATAGACTAAGCAATGAAATCTGAGAATTATATATCACACACACTATCCATTTCTAAATTGAATCATTTAACTTTTGATTAATTTGTTGATTAATACAATTTTTATTTTGGATATTATTCATATACGATTATTGAATTTTTTTTAAGGTCGTATATTTTTGAGTAAAAGTTGTCAATTATTTTAAAAAAATAATGAGCAAAAATTAATTTAAAATTAAGTAATTAAAGAACGAGAAGGAAGGGAAAATTACTAATTGATATAGTGGGAGTATTTTTTAGGTGATCAAATTTTATGCTACACTAAACACAAATTATTATTATTATTATTATTATATTTTTTGTTATATAAGAAGTTTGTGAAAACGGATTCATCAGTCTGTAAAGTGGGCATAGCGCGTAAGGTTACACGTAGTGTAGATCCTCTTGAAATATCAAAGTCGACAGCTTGAGACCATGCCAGCTGCATATAATTGATACATATTTAAATTGTCTGTCCATCCTTTATATCCAAATTTTATTGGAATTATTAAATTTTAATGTATAATAAGATCTATTATTAATTCATAAATTAAGTTAATAAATTATATTCCAATAACATTATTATTTATTAAAACAGAGCTAGCAAAACAGAATGATGATAAAAAAAACCTTGAGAACAAGTTCCCGGTGAATATTTAGAGAGGGACATGCAAACTTCCGAAGATATAAGGAGGAAACACGTACAAATCTTTGTGGATTCCTCCATAATAAGAGAATTGTTTATTGCAGGCAGATACATAGATAGATACATAGAGAGAGAGAGAGAGAGAGAGAGAAAGATGCCTTGTCTTGATATCTCTACGAACGTGAACCTGGATGGAGTTGACACTGATTCAATCTTCTCCGAAGCCACAAAAGCCGTTGCTGCAATTATTGGAAAACCCGATAGCGTAATCTCTCTCTCTCTCTCCCTCTCTCATATTGGAATTTTGAGCATATATACTCTTTGGCTGTTTAAGACTTAAGGAGGCATCCATGGTTGCATCATTTTTGGCACATAGGAAGGCAATACAATGGCTCAATTGTACTTATACAACTTATATGTCTCGTCTGCATTTGAGAGGATTTGATTTTGCTTGCTCTTTTACGGTTAAATTTCCAACTGAACTTTTTCTTCTGCTCAAGGAGACATCCATGGTTGGAACTTAGAAAACTCTACTTTGCTCTATGATTTATATCTCTAATTAAGGTCACTTCATTAATATATATTATTGGAAGTTTATAACCGTGATCTAAAGACTGTCCTTTTCTTGGGTAAGATTTTAATTTAGGGTCAGCTTTTAGTTTTACTATCAAACCAGAAGTAAGCTTTGTTTGCTCTTTGAGATTTTAGAAAAAGGAATCTTTCTTCATTTAACCCCCTTCTTTTGGTGAAGCCATATCTTCATATTCATCTGAATCGACACCACCAATATAAAGGTGCTTTTCCTCTCTCTCTTTGTCCTCTTTCTTTTGTTTTCCATCGCATGGCGTTCTGCTAACTTGTTATGTCAGGTGCAGAGTCATCGAACATGAGGGGGCAGGATTACACCCAATTGACAAATTACCCGAAAAGAATCTCTTTAATGCATGTCACCATCCTGTGTTTTAGAGTGCAATCCAGTTGTAAAATGTTCCTTTAAGGCACTGGTAGTGATTGCTCTAAAAACAATAACCCGAAAACACGCTTCCCACAATTTGAGCACAATTATTATGTTGTGCAACAGTGTTATGCTGATCAATTTGATAAGAAACTTAGTAAACATAATATTACTGTTTTACCAAATTGGAACTGTTCGTTTTTCTGAGTCATTACTCATTAGCATCACAGATGCATCAGTCGCAGACACTTTAGTCGGTCAGAGTCAGAGGTGGTTTAAAAGTTCTTCGCTTATTTTTTTCTTCAGTTGGTGTAAATAGCGCTGAAATTACCCAGAAATTGCTAATATGTAGGCCTCTCATTCCTTGACTAATCACCAATGTTTACTATTCCACATTGTTGGCCACAGAACTTGGACTAGGTTTTGAACGGCTCATTAGTAAAACGAATGCAACGCATGCTGAGTCACATTTGGCATCAGCAATAAACAAAAAGAACAAGCGTAAAGGGTAGGAATACAATACATTTTTACGGTACTTTCCAAAAATACTACATGATAAAAGGGTGAGGTTACAACTCAACCAAAACAGGGTTGTTTATTTATGCTAGGATCGTTTCTAACATTTTTTATTGCAATTTGACTCCATTTTTGTAGTAACTTGACTCAACAAAGTTGGAACTTACCTCATTCGGTACCAATGTCTTATTGGTAGTTTTTATTAAGGCTCCTCTCACAGTTATCTTCATCAATAATCATCATCTGCATTATCAACTAATGGTGCTGATCTACTCAACTCAGACAAAGCTTATCTTCCTCAACAGTGTGGCACCCTGAATGAATCATACAAGCCTTAAGAGTTACATCATCAGATAATATTGCAAAATATGTAAATTACAAAAGGCAAATTACTTGAGAATTGAGATACCCTTTTTGTGATTCATATATTATGAACATTAGAACATTAATCTACATTTTTTGGAAGGTTTTTCCTTTAATTGGAGGAATGGGGTTTTGTTTTACAGTATGTGATGGTCCTATTGAAGGGATCAGTGGCCATATCATTTGGTGGGAACAAAGAACCAGCTGCATTTGCTGAAATAGTATCCATGGGTGGCATCAACTCTGAAGTAAAGAGGAACTTGATTGCAACTATTGGTACAATTCTGCAGAACAAACTGTCTATCCCCAGGGCACGGTTTTTCCTCAAGGTTTACGATACAACAATGGGGCGTAACAACTCCAGAATGTAACACACACATTGCAGCCTCTTCATAGTGTTTTCAAACTGTATCCTGTCCTGTTAAATTCTGTGCTGGTTTTGGTTGTGAAAGTCTCACATAGCTATTCACATAAACCGCTCATAAGAATAAGACATTCAACTCCTTAAAATACGTGTAATTGAAAGACTTAGAATATCCATGCCTTGAATAAATGTCTACCTTCAGGAGAATTTTACAGAACGAGTTTCAAACATGTCTTCTTCGCTTCCCAACATAATTAGGGAAAAGGGCATTGTCGGCCACTGCTTGCTAACCATAGAACGCATCGTTAATTAAAGGTCCTCACCTTGGACTTAGTTAGAAAGGTAAGTGTTCGGCATTTTCCCCTTGTACTGTTATTAGAAGTCTAGTATCTCTCAGGTCTAATTTCGATTTTGAACTAACTTATTTAATAGGCTAGAAGAGAGATATTCAAAAAATTTGATTTCCTATCTTGTCTTAAAAACCTGATTCAAAAGAGAAATAAAAACTGGACTCAAAGAAATATCACTATTGATGATGAAACTTTATTTTTATATCAAAATTGGAACTGAACTTAAACGTCTTTGGATCCAACTTAGAATGAATTTGCCTCATTGATTGAGATGAAAATAGATATTTAAATTTTATCAGTATACCTTTGTAGATTGCATGGATTTTTCAAAATATCATAAGTATTACTACACCGAATCCTGAAGTTTGGTTGCTAATTGTTGAAAAGAAAGCCATACACTAATCTGAAAACCTCATTGGTGCCAAGCACGACAGACTGCCAGCTAGACAAACTGAATGAACTTTCTCTCTTCGCTATTGTACTACCAACAAAACAAATCAGAACAATATACCCAAGAACATATCTCGTCAAAAAAGGCAAAATACTGTTGTACTGATATTATGGTATCAACTCTTTCTTTTGATTTCTCACAGTACTGTAGCTTTCAATAAGAAAGGACATCAAATAGCATACTCTGCCAGTCCCTCTACACTTGAGCCAAGAGAGAAGGTAAAACATTGGGTGCATAAGGCAAAAATACAGTAAAAAAGGGCATAGTAGACTAGAGACAACGAGGCTAGCTAGCCTAAATTGTTAAACAAGAATCCAAGACCTGTAATTGAGCGGGACCAAGTTGACGTTTGGGTGCGGACTCGTTGGTTTGCCGTTTGGGTTCAACTTGGGATCATGAAGAAACTTCAAATATTTTGTCTAAACTCGGTTCGTTATTAAACAAATCTTGAAATTGGAATTGAACTGATCAATTCAATTTATCAATGAACAATTCCTAAACGAGCTCCAATAGGAAAACATATTAACATAAGAACCCTACTGTTTAATCTAAAGTGCCCGTATAATTTTGGATTAATGATATTTTTGGTCCTTACAATATCAATTTTATCCCTAACGCATTCAATTCGTGTTTATATAATCTCTAAACAGATAAATCATTAACTTTTTACCGAAATGATCACGTTATACCATCTGAGAGAATGACACGGGATTACTTCTGTAAAAAAATTAATGAATTGTCTGTTTAGAGACAAAAATAACACAAATTGAAACTTTAATAATCAAATTAACAAAATTAATATAATGGAGATCAAACTGATAAAATAAGTATACTTTAGAGACCAAAAATTTTATTCACCCTATAATTTTTAATAAACCAAGCAATATTTTGAGTTGTAGAATGCCTTAATTGTATATTCTATTCTTGAAATTTACAATTAATTTTGTTGCTTTGGTTTCTTTAAATTTTTATATCAAAATTTCTCTTTGAATTCCTGACAAATTTTAATTCAATCCAATCAACAAAAGTTGAAAGAGGAAATTGACAACAAACTTTTTTTTTTGGAAGATACGATAACTACAACCACTCACACTTAGAAGTGTGAGTGTCATAGCATCCATTTAAAATTGACAACAAACTTGAAAGACTAAAGTGACATAAATGAGGTAAAATTTTATGGGACAAAAAGTATAATTTGCCTTCTAAATAAAATAGAAATTAAAATGAAAAAAAAATTGGGACATGTTTAGTAAACCTTAGAATATGGTTAATTAACCAACAATCTTTGGTTCAATAGTAAAACTTTGCCTTCATGAGGTTAAAAGTTTAATTCTTTCTCCTCTCCCCCAAAAAAAGAAAAAAAATATAATATGATTAATTAATTAGTTTGCCCACATTAGCAGTAAAATCGATGGATCATTTAAAATATAAAAAAAAAAGGTGAAGTCCTTTATTTAAGTTGGGCTTGAGAGCTATACTGAATAAAAACTTCAATGAAGCTAAGAGAATGACTTTATTTGATTTGCATCTGAAAAATTGTTTTTTTATTTTTGGAAATAGGTTCGGAGAAAAAAACTGTTTAGCAAATTATTTTTTGTTTTTATTTTTTGAAAACTAAAAACTAACGTGGGTAGATTTTAGATTATGACGATTTTGTGTGATTCTGGAAATAATGTATTTTTGACTAAAAATAAAAGAAACAATTTTTTCAGAATTTAAAAAACACTACCACCATCATTACACTTCTGCTACCACCGCCACCACATTTATGTTATCATTGTTTTATGTGTTATTATTAAAACAAGTTTTACTATTTTTTGTTTTGTTAAATTATATAATCAAATAAATTTTGTGATAAAAAAAACACCTAACACATTTTTTAAAATGCAAACAGAGACAAAATCATACAGCTGGATTGTCTGTTTCAATTATTTAAACAGGGTCACGTGTATTATTGCTAATTAATGTATGCAGCTTGTGTATGACGCATGTGGATCCTGCTCCGGCTTAATTGAAATCCTGCTCCTGTCATCTGATTGATCCTCTCTAGTGGATGAGCTGAGTGAAGGCAATGATAGTCTTCTATAATGGAGGGATCCAAATCTCCTTTTAGGGCATTTTAGGTGGAGTTACAGTTCAGGGGGCCCTAGCCCTACTGCTATCCAACCAAGCCAATCTTTTTCATCGGTTAGTGGAGTGGATATAATGACAGACGGAGTAGTTGAGATCTGGGGGTTGAGAGCGAAGAGTGTGACTGAAAACCAGGATCCAGGGCAGAAGCATTCGGAAAACAAAAATGCCTTGCCTGAACCTGTCTACTAACGTCAACCTGGAGGGCGTTGACACCTCCTCCATTCTCTCTGAAGCTTCATCTACTGTCTCCAAAATCATCGGCAAACCTGAGGCTGTATGTACTCTCTCTCTCTCTCTCTCTCTCTCTCTCTTGTGTACAGGTATGTGTGTGTTCTGTCTTTTCTGTGTAAATACTAACCTGCAGTCAAAATTTATTGCATTATTTTTTGAGATTTTTATGTTCTAGTTATTTGTGGGTGAATATTGCCTGCTTCATTGTCTGGTTTTTCATTTTTGGGGGGTTTACTGAAATAGAGGGGGAAAATTTTGAAGCCTAAGCACTGAAAAGTTTCCTAACTTTTGAGGCAGACCGGATATCGAATTCACGTAGCGACTGGATGAATAGTTTATTGATTCAACCGTTTAAATAACAAGCCGAATTAGTTGTCTAATTAAAAAATAAAGAAAATATAATACTGTAACTAAAAAATAAATAGTGCAGTGTGTATGGTGTATTATAGTGTACTGTGTTGTTGAGTGTGTGAAGTGTGTGTATTAAACTATTCTCTATATTTAGGGGTGTCCATAGTCAGATTTCTCACGAGTCCTGTTATCTGGCCCGAAAAAAATAGGCTCATTCGAGCCCTAGCTCGAGCCCAATATACTTAAAAAAATGGTTTGAGTTTGCCCCTAAACCTATTATCAGGCCCAAGAGCCCGCCTGCAAGCCTAACCTAGCCCACCTTTTCTTTGAAAAAAATTTATATTTTTAAACCATTAAATTTGAAATTTTGAAATATGTCTTCTAATATCGAAATTTCAAGTTTTAAAAATTTAGATATTATAAATAATATATTATTCTCTTTTTCATGTATTAAGCATATAAGTTTTAAATTGTTCAATAATACAAATGACAGATAAGTTTGTAGGTGTCAACCCAATTGAGATTTATTCATTCTATTAGATATAGTTCATTATTTTATTTTTATCAATATTGACTTAACTTTTGATTCAAAAATATAATTTATACAAATATTAAGTTTCAAAAATATTCATTATTTATAAATAAAGATGTATAAAAAAAAACTTGTAAGTAGGCCCGCCCAACAAGCTTGCCCAATTGGCTCACTGGTTGGGCTTCGGGTAGCCTAGCCCTATCCGAAGTCCAGCTCGGCCCGTCCGATAACTCACTTGGGTAAGAGCTTAGACTTATATTACTCAGGCTCGGCCCGAAAAAAATTTTGGGTGCCTAGTCCAGCTCGACGTATGACACCCCTATCTATATTCATAGAGCGTGTGTGTGCACGTGTAGACATAGAGAGTGTGTGAAAAGAGAAGGCCCAACTTCTCTTTATTCAATTTGACCGTGACTCTGTGAGTGTGTGTTTTCGTGGAGAGAGAGGAGAAGAAGAAGTCTAGTGCTCGAGACTTCGAGATCTGGGTCATCTGGTGTTGGAGATTTAGATCTGTCGTGTCATGCTGTTGTTCGAGAGCTTAATTTGGAGAAGACAGAGAAGAGCTGTTGTTTGAGAGCTCAATGTGCTGTCGTGTTGCTGTCAAGGGCAGAGGGAGGCATGGGCCAGGGTAGGTAAGTGCCCTCGTCAATTTTTTTTTTTATTAGTTAATTATATATATTATATATTTATATAATATATTATTTGTGCCTACCCAAAATCCAAGATAAAAAATATTAAGACCACATTATTTACTCAAAAGAATTAAAAAATTAAGTCCATTTAAAACAAACAAATTTGAGCCCACCACTATTTACTAAAATTTATTAAAAAATTAAATCTTTTGACCTATCACAATCCACCCAAACCTATTAAAAAAATAAAATTTTTGGTCCACCATTAAAAAATAAAGTTTGTGGCTTACTTGACAGACATCAGTAACATTTATGTTATTAATTTTTTTTTTCTTCTCTGTTTCACTCACTTTCAGCTGTCCAATCAGAAGAAACAGAGTAAAACTCTTTCCTCAGTTTTTTGGGTTTTCTTGTCGTTCCTTGCACAGTTGATGAGTTTAGTAAAGAGCATGGCCGGAGCCAGCATGTGCTCGGGGAGGCACATGTCTACCCTCAAATTTTTTTTCTTAACATTACTTATATGTATATTTCAAGTATTTCTTCAATATTTTTAATTATGTCCACTTTATTTTTTTGGCACATCAATTAGTGTACACTTATATCAAATAAATATGAATTTTTTGACACATTTTGGACATGTTATGTACTTATTTAGATAAATTTTAAATATACTAGAATCATTTTATACTTTTTAAGACTAAAAAAGATATCATATATATAATTACTAGTTTACTTGTGATTTTAACATTTATTTTGTTAATTATGGTAGAAATTATAGAGTGCACATTGAACGGTATAATTGATCGAATCAATTATAAATACCAAAGTGATAAAATGATGGTGTATATAAAGAATAATAAAATTATTATGCAACAGTTTCAAAGTATTAAAATTCACCGAAGTCAATTATAAATGATTTTAATTTGTCTATATTTTGTAAAAAAAAAAATTAGTGTCATTTGTATATACTAAGCTTACCAAATTTTGGTATATTGGGTTTAATAAACTTTTAAGTATTAAATATAATATAATTAAATATAAATTATTGTCCTATTTTTATTAATTGTAAAAAAAAAATTAATTTGTTGAATTATTTATACCCACCTTGGTATGACTTTCTGGCTCTGCCCCTGACCACTGTTCAAGAGCTCGATCTTGAGAAGACGGAGAAGAGGAAGTCTAGTGTTCGAGATCTTATCTGTGGTGTCGTGTGCCGCTGTTCGAGAGCTTGATCTGGAGAAGACGAAGGCTAGTTTTGAACCGATCGATTTTTTAATCTTCGGTTCACTGGTTTTTGTCCTAGACCGGCCGGTTTTTTGGTTGTTTAACGGTTTAATTACCCAAATGGTCTTTTTAGTAAACCGGACTGTTGAAGATCCCGGTTCGCCGATTCACCTGATCGATCGATCAATCCGGTCCGGTTCTGATAACCCTATTTTAATGGCTTTCTAAATCTTCAATTTCTAGGATAGCATGCACTCTTTGGCCCTTCAAATTGGTCGAGGCTGGAATGTTCTCCGCCTCCAGCTGACTTATTGATTAAATAGCCGAAATTTTGGGTCATAATCCTTGTGGGGCAGCCACTCGTGACGAGCAGATCTAAGCCAAACAAAAACGTGGGGCAGCCATTGTTCCATTCTTAACCTGGGACACAAACAGATCTATACAAAAAGTCCTAAATTTATTGTTAATGGCGTTGGAAGGAGAGACCTCAATAAAAGAAGGGCAGGTGCACGCTGCGTTTGCTAATAGGGTGTTTTTTGATTTTGTTTTTAATTTTTAGAAAGAAAAAAAAAAAAAAAATGCGATTGATAAATATTTTCAATTTTTTTTTTTGCTTCTCTGATTTGAAAACAATGACAAAAATTACAAACATCTAAAATGATGTTTATAAAAAATGAAAAAAAGGAATTATGCTTGCGACACGAGAGATTGGGACTTTAATGAGGTCCACACATCAAATTGTATTAGCAACAAAAATTTTATTTTTTGGGTGGAAGTATTTAAACCCCACATTTTAATTCTCAACAGACAACTGTCTGTCCTCTCTCTCTCTCTCTCTCTTATGTGTGTTGCAAACCATCTCTCTCTCTTTCTCCCTCTTTCTTGCTCACAGTTGGAAAAGGTTGAAGGGTTTTGGTGATGGATTTTCAGTGGGTTGGGTGGTGGGTTTTCGGGGTGGTGGTGGTGGTTTTTGGTGGTTGGGTGGTGCATCCCAATTGTATTTTGAGGAGCAATTTATTTAGGATTAAAAAACTAACCAAAATAATGTCAAATATGTTTTTTATTTTTGTTTTCATAATTTTTTAAATATAAATGACTACCAAATATGTTTTATCTTTTTAATTTTTATAACAGAAAAAAAATTAGTTCTGTTTTTAAAAAAAAAAACATAAAAATAGAAACGTTACCAAACACACCCCAAAATTTTCTGTTTAAAATTTGGGGCTTGTTTTCAAACAACTTAGCTGGAAAAAAACAGAAACTTATGTTTCCTTGACATTATTTCGTATTTAAGTTCAGCACATCTTTTAGAATCTAATGTTCTATAAGGTATGTGCATTTTTTTAATTTTAAATTGAAGTCCCTATGAGCCTTGAGGTGGTGTTGTATGCTCCTTGTATGATGGGTGTCCTCATCCCAGCCTTGCTTTGTTCTTGTATAAGAGAACAATACCAATTGATGCTCAACAGTAATTCAGCTAGTTCATCTTGGTTTAGAAAAGCTAAACCTTAGACTTCATAATTTGTTTTTTGGCCTTGAAGGACACTTGTTGTCACTCTGCAAGTCGTGATTTTCTTTACTGCAAATCAATTGTATGAACAAAAGCTACAAACAAACGAACATGATAAAATACAGAAACTAGAACTAACATTGATGTCCAAAACTAGGGGCCAAAATCCCATAGAAAAACTAAGTGGTCTATAATCTATTTATTAACTGTCTCTAAATACAGTAGGGTTTTTAATTGGTCTCTTGCAGAGTGGAATACAAGACATCCACAATAGTATGTGATATTGATGAAGCTGCTTTGTACTTTTAATAGCATTAACCCCTTGTGATTGCAATTGTGCAGTATGTGATGATTGTACTGAAGGGCTCTGTACCAATGTCATGTGGTGGGACAGAGCAGCCAGCAGCCTTTGGTGAGGTTGCGTCCGTTGGGGGACTCAACCCTGATGTAAACAAGGAGATGAGTGCTGCTATTTCAAACATACTTGAAACCAGGTTATCCGTGCCCAAAAACCGGTTTTTCCTGAAATTTCATGACTTCAAGGTAAGCCATCTGATCTTTCTGAGTTGCCATCAAGATGGATCTGTGCCTTGCACTTGTGTCCACTCATTGTATTCTTGCTGTTTGTTTAGGCCCATCAAAGACGAGATTATGCGCCATGTATACATGCTTTAAACCGTTGGAATAAAGCCTTTTCAGCTTTTTGTTATCTTAAGTGATTTTTCTTTTTTCTGGATCTTTTATATGTTCTATACTTGCCTATTTAGGAATAATTTGATATAGCTTGGTTCCACTTTAAGTCGCCATGACAGCTTCATTTATTTATGCAGGGCTCCGACTTCGGATGGAATGGGTCCACCATGTAGGTTTTTCTTGTTTCTTTTTTTTGGCTGCTCGGAAACTATCTTGAACTTGTTGTGGATTGGATGTATGCATGGAACAAACTATCTTGCACTTATTGTGTACTTGATGTATGCATGAAATAAAACAACTCTTATCTATTTGGTAATATGAGATTTTCACTTCTGTGGTGAAACTCGTATCATGTTATGTCTGGCTTCCAAATGAACTATGCAGCAGAACATCTTTGGGTTCTGCTTCTATATGCACTTTCCCCAGCCTATCCATGGGTTTTATAGCTGTGTTGACTATATGAAAGGCTTAGGAACACTAAAGTATTTTCTAGGTCTTGAAGTCACTCCTACTTAAAATGGTCTTTTCATTTCTCAGTCTAAATATGTTAATGATCTTCTTACCAAAACGGCAAAACCAATATTTCTTCTTGCAATGCCTATCAAACACCCTGCTCTTCAGCTCCCAGACTAAGCAAACACCATTGTCAACCTCTTTCAGACCTCACCTCTTACAGAATTCTTGTGAGAGCTTTGCAATATCTCACATTCACTCGACCTGATATCACCAATTCTGTTAACTATTGTCTGCCAGTTCATGCAAAAACCCACTGACCTTCACCTTGCTGCAATAAAGAGGATTCTTAGATGCATCCAAGGTACTTTCACTCATGGACTTCTATTCAGTAAAGGCTTCTTGGATATCTCCACTTGTGCAGATTCTGACTAGGCAAGAGACCCCACTGATCGCAAATTCTCCACTGGTCTTGTTATATTCCTTGACAATAACCCTATTCATTGGTTGTCCAAGAAACAACCTACAGTGGCTAGGTCATCTACTGAGGCAGAATACAGGAACTAGCTACTACTGTAGCTGAAATATCCTGGATAAGATTGCTTCTTTGTGACTTGAACATCTATCTCTCCTCAATCCCCCGCATATGGTGTGATAACTTGTCAGCCATCTCCCTTACATCCAATCCACTCTTTCATGCCCGGACCAAGCATATAGAAGTGGATTGTCACTTCATTAAGGAGAGACTTACACGGAAGGATCTTGCTGTATCTTACACTCCTACAAATGATCAAATGTCTTCACCAAAGGTCTTAGCACTGCTCAATTCCTCCATTTTTATCACAAACAGCTGGTTCCTTCTTGCCTCAACAGTTTGAGGGGTCATTGTAAGCATGACTCAAGTGTGATGAATCTATTCTTTTTCTCTTCTCAGTTCTTTATATTCTTCTTTCTCCTTTTGTTCAGAGCACAGATCCTGGATTCTACTACTATTATGTTTCTTATTCAACAGATCACTCCTCTACAATTCTTTAGTTGTTAACCTTCATATTAATGTCGACATGGTAATTTACATTGCAATGGTGAATAATTTAATATTATTTGTAGTTCAAGTATTTTTTTAAAAAATTATCTTAATTTATTTTTTTTCATTTAGTAAATTTTTCATATTTATTACTGCACTATATCCATAAGTTTCTGTTGCTATTGGATAAAAAAAATACAAACCTGTGGAAAAGGAAAACAATTATTAATTGAAAATGAAAACAATTATGTACCCTTTTCTTTATTTGAACTGAAAGGATGAAAGTCATTTCCTTTGCTGTTGTACCAACAAAACAAAGAAAAACAAAATTTAGTCAGTGTAACATTACACTTTCTAAAATATATATGCTCAAAAAAAAGAAGCAGCTGAAGATTACTTTGCAAAGGTTGTAGTATAAAGTTTGTCAACTCTTCAGTTTGGTTGTTAGTTTCAACAATCCCAAGGATATATCCTGTTATTCAAGACATCAAATAACATACTAATTACTCTCTGAATCTTCCGTATCAAAGACTAAAAGTAATAAGATTTAGATCAAATAACATCCACTCCTCCGCACTCAAACTTTATTTTATATCAAAATCGCTGAGCCACTAAAGAAGTTAAAATAAAAAGTTGAGAGATTTACGTTTAGATTCTCTGACGTTTGTCACTTAATCACTACAGACTTTATAATATTTGAAATATTGTACATAGACTCTTTGGGGTTTATACACGTGTAACACTTAGACCCCTACCGTCAAATATACGTATATTTATTAGTAAATTATACTCAGACTCCCTGAAATTTATAGGCGTATAATATTTAAATCTCTCAAATTTAAAATATTATATTTAAACTAAAAATATTTCAATCAAAGATAGAATATCAAATATTTTAAATTTAAAAACTAAAATTCATGTTCTATTTTATTATTTATTGAAATAAATTTAAAAAGAAAAAGTCAATTTTTTCTTGAAAAATCATAATTAGTATACAATTATACTATTTAAAAAAATTAAACAAGGGGTTTAAGTCATTCATAATAGAACATAAATTTTACAATCAGAATTCATGTTCTATTATGTCATTTATTGAAACAAAATTAAATATAAAAATCTATTTTTTTTTAAATCATAATTAGTATACAATTATACTATCTATTAAAATAAAACTAAAAAATAAACAAGGGGTCAAACTATAATACATACAATATATTTTAGCTTTAATTGGGGTAATTTGTTAGTTTAATATGGTCGTTTAAATGACTAAATTAAATTATAATAGATAGTATAATTATATACAAATTATATATTCTTTTTTAAAAAATAGATTTTTGATTTTGATTTTATTTTAATAAATGGTATAATAGCACATGAATTTTGTTTGTAAAATGTAAAATATTTGATATTCTATATTTGATTGGAGTATTTTTTTTTTAAGTATAACATTTTAAATTTAATAAATTTTAGTATTACATGCCTACAAACTTTAAGGGGTATGAATGTAATTTATTAACGAATTAGTAATAACCTGTGCCTGAAGGCACGGTGTAATATAATCAAATCCCTTGAAGAATTGAGCCCATTATTTCAAATTGTGACAATTATTTTGAAAAAAAAATGGACAAAACCCGTGCTTGAACACATTTGATAAAATCTAACTCACAATTCTAAATGCACGTGTTTAATTAACATCCAAATTAAACATTTTATTTGGAGGATTTTTCAAGATATTATGCCAACCAATTGCAACTTTCATAGGAGAAGAATTTCAGTTGAAACTCAGTGTTATTTATGTGGATTTCCTATGGAAACATCGGCTCATTTGTTCATGGAGTGTCCTTTTTCTTTGGAGGTTTGGAAGGTTTCGGGTATTAAGCTCCCCTTGCTGGCTGCCTCTTCAATCCAAGACTGGTTAATTAATGTAACATAAACATTGCCTACTACTGATGTAAGTTTAGTCATGACAATATCCTGGTCGATCTGGTTTAACAAGAATAAGACACGTTTAGAGGAAGAAGTCCAATATCCTGTGGGAATTATGGATTTTGCTAAAACTTATTTTCATCAGTTCTTGGATGCACAAGCAATTAAGAAGCCAATTTCCAATCAGCGAACTCATTCTGATATTGGTTCTTAGATTGCGCCACCTCCAAGTATTATCAAAATTAATTTTGATGGTTCCACCTGTAAGAACTCAAACTCTTCGAGTATTAGGATAGTCATTAGAGACTGTAATGGTTCTTTTGTTGCTGGTATGTGTCAACATATTGGAAACTTGATGGCTGCTGCACATGTGGAGGCTATGGCTGTCTTATCTGGACTGAAATTTGCAATGGAATTATGATATGAAAGAGTTATGCTTGAAGGTGATTCAAAAATAGTTATGGATGCCATTAGTAAGAGGGAGCATAATTTTACTGATATTGGCACATTTGTAGAGTAGATTCAAGTTCATGTATCTAATTTGTCAGAATTCCCTGTGAAGTGGACACGTCGATCAAGAAACAAAGCTGCTGATTTTTTAGCTAAATATGCTTTGCAATGTAAAGACTCTATTAGTTGGAGGAGAGATTGTCCTGTGTTCATGTATTCTCTCATTCAACAAGATAGATTACTTATTTGATGAAATATAATCTGTTGTTTCTTATCAAAAAAAATAAAAAATAACATCCATATCGACTTCCATATAAAAATTGTTATAACAAAAGTCTAAAATCCAAACAAAACCGAAACAAATAAAAATGATTGGTGCAATTGATCTTATAACTGTGCCTAAAAACTCTCAGTAACCACACATAAAATAACAATTACCAACGGAAATTCATTAGAGAAGCAATTAAACTCAAAAAAAAATTGGCTAGAATTTTCTCTCCAAATGGGACACCGAAAAATTTTCAACCTATATATACAATTTATTTTCATACCCAAAAAGATTATCAAAAATCTCACTATCACGCCACAGTTTTGCCTAGTACAATCATTTATCAACAAATGCAACTATGCAAATGAATCCCATAATAACATATGAATTCCATAACAAAAATATTCACGTTTCATGCACCCAATAATACTCAATGTTTAAATATTCTATGCAATTAAAAATCAACAATTAACAAAATAAAGCGGATGAAAGCAATACTTATAAATCTACCAGCCTAATCTCTTAGCTACCGTATGTGAATAAACTTTGAACATGAATTACATAAACGCTAGGAGCAAACATAAAATGGTTTCAAACAAATTCACAGTGACCACCAAAGGTATAAGGAAATCTTAGGTACAATAGAAAGAGAAAGCGAGTTCATCTCAATAGTTTATACACTGTTTTTAAACACCTTACACAACTATTAAAGACCAAAATACCTTATACACTATTGTTGGGCTTTTAAACTCATACAAAAAAATAAATAATCACTTTCTTTTTAGTGTAGAAGAACACCTATGACAAATTACCATGCTTTTTGATATTACTGCCTTCCTTTTGTCTAAATATTCAAGATTTTAGAATATCACGTCGATTCGAGTAGGTAAGATCGTACGTATTTGAATTTTAAATCCAATCGAACTTTGACACGCCATCGATCTGAAAAATACGCCAAACACAATGTTAACAAATCTGAAAATCGAAAGGAGAAAATTATTTATGGCATTTTTAGTGTTTAGTAAGTAAACCTGGTCATAGAGCACTTGAGGTAGAGTGCAGTTAGAGCATCTTCAACCATAACTCAAATTCGAGCAAAAACTTGATTGAGTATATAATATAATATTTCAATGGACAAACTCAAATATTTACTCAAATCTTTTAAAAAAAATTCTTAATGGTCCAAAGCTCATTTTTTAAAATTTTTTCTACTAAATTATTTTAACCTCTCTCATTTTTTTGTCTTCATTCCCTCCCCAATATTAAAATCTATTTTTATAAACTTCACCAATATTAACCTAGAGAAAAAAGTAAGAATATCAACTTAAAGCAACTTCAGGCTAAAACAAAAGAATTTTTTAAAATATCTACTCAATATCAACTAACATTTATTTCCTATCTTCAATCCCATTTAGAGTATCTTCTGTATAAAGCAATTTCGGATGAGAGAGAGATATTTTTTTAGAATGAGAGTTTATGAGAGAAAAAAATGTTATATATATTAAAATGTTACCGTCGAAGAATATATACAGTATGATTGACAACGATAACAACGACTTCGAAGATAGAGGCAGGAGTGACAAGAACTTGTTCTGTCATATGAGTTTTTTGAGTTAGGATAGGATAAAAAGTTATCGTTAAAAATTTGATATAGGATTTGAGTCTCCTTCAATTTGGGTTAAGAATAATTTTTGCCTTAATTTGATATAAATTTGGGTTTGAAGAAGTTTTCTAGGCAATTTTGACTCAATTTTAAATTTAAAGAAAATTTCATTTTGTCCCTTGAAAGATACAAAAAAAATTAGTTTGTTCCATAAATGATTAATTTTCCACATTATCTTCTCAAAGAAATAAAAATGTTACAATGTGGTATACCATTTATTTTGTGTCAAATCAAATCAAGAATCACAAAATAGACGAATGATCAAATGAAAATAAGACAATTGATCATAATATAATATTTTTATTTTTTGAGGGGCCAATATAAAAAAATTAATTATTCAAAGAACAAATTAAATTTTTTTGTATCTGACAAAATGAAATTTACTCTTACATTTAAGTCTAAATTTGAGTGAGATACACTTGAAGGGTAATTTGGGGAAGCTAATTAATTAACCAGAGTCCACCCCAAGAAAGAAACCCAGTCTTTTTCATCGGTGGGTGGAGAAGAGAAATAGACAGACGTGGTTGAGAGATAGAAAGAGAGAGAGAGAGAGTCTGCTTGAGATCAGGGGGTTGAGAGCGAAAACTGTGAAAACAAGATCGAGGTTTTATACTAGTTTGGGGATAGTTGTAGTGATAGTACATATAGTTGCAGAAGCATTCGGATAACAAAAATGCCTTGCCTGAACCTGTCTACTAACGTCAACCTGGAGGGTGTTGACACCTCCTCCATTCTCTCTGAAGCCACATCTACCGTCTCCAAAGTCATCGGCAAACCTGAGGCTGTATGTATACTCTCTCTCTCTCTCTCTCTCTCTCTCTCTCTACATAAGTGTGTGTGTGTGTGTGTGTGTCCGTCTTTTCTGTGTAAATACTAACCTGCAGTAATAATTTATTGCTTTATTTTTTAGATTTTTATGTTCTAGTTACTTGTGGGTGATTATTGCCTGTTTGATTGTCTTGTTTTTTAGTTAATTTTGTGAGATCTTATTTTTGGGGTTTACTGAAATAGAAACCTTGTTATGTGTTAGCCAAGCACCAGTTTACTAGAGGTAAAAATTTGAGGGCTTAACACTGAAAAGTTGCCTAACTTTTGAAGGCTTTCTAAATTTTCAATTTCTAGGAAATGCATGCACTCTTTGGCCCTTCAAATTGGTCGAGGCTGGAATGTTCTTCGCTTTCAGTTGACTTACTTCATTAAGTTATGACCTGAATGATGCCCAAGTATATTGGGTTCCTCTTCTTTCATTTGTGCTATTTGGCTTTTGTCACCCCTTGGGCTGGGTTTTCTGAAGGGGAACAATGTCCAGGCTGGTAGGTAGATTTGTGGGTGGCCCAATTTGAGTTTCCTTATCGCACAGTAGTCAACCAAAAATGAAATTCCTTATTGTGGACTGCCTAGCCATGTTTCCTTGGCCTTATATTTTTATTTAAGTTCAGTACAATTTTAGAATCAAATGTCTATAAAGTCTGCTTTTGTGTGTGTGTTTTTTTTTTTAAATTGAAGTCCCCTTGAGCCTCGAGGTGGTGTCGTATGCTCCTGGTATAATGGGTGTCCTCATCCCACCCTTGCTTTTTTCATGTACAAGAGAACAATACTAATTGCTGTTCCACTGTATTTCTGCTATTTCATCTTAGTTTAGAAAAAATAATCCGTTGACTTGATAATTTGTTTTTTGGCCTAGACGGACACTTGTTACACTGCAAACCATGATTTTCTTTACTGCAAATTCATTGTTTGTGAAATTGATGAAGCTGCCTTGTACTTCTAATTTTAATTTTGTGCCCTTTCCCCAAACAAGTTGAAGTAATAAATGATGCTAACTAGAACATTAACCCCTTGTGATTGCAATTGTGCAGTATGTGATGATTGTGCTGAAGGGTTCTGTACCGATGTCATTTGGTGGGACGGAGCAGCCAGCAGCCTATGGTGAGGTTGTGTCTGTTGGGGGCCTCAACCCTGATGTAAACAAGAAGCTGAGTGCTGCTATTTCAAACATACTTGAAACCAAGTTATCTGTGCCCAAAAAACGGTTCTTCCTGAAATTTCATGACTCCAAGGCAAGCCATCTCATCTTTCTGAGTTGCCTTCTAGATGGATCTGTGCCGTGCACTTGTGTCCACTCATTCCATTCTTGCTGTTTGTTTAGGCCCATCAAAGTCAAGATTATGCACCATGTCTACATGCTTTACACCAGTACTAGATCATGTAAATAAACTTCCACCGTGGGAATAAAGCCTTTTCCATCTTTTTTGTTATCTTAAGTGATGTTTCTTTGTTCTGGATCTTTTATATGTGCTATACGTGTCTATTTGGGAATCATGTGATATAGGTTGGTTCCACTTAGATCGCCCTGACGGCTTTCATTTATTTGCGCAGGGCTCCGACTTTGGATGGAATGGGTCCACCTTTTAGGTTTTTCTTGCTTCCGTTTTTGCTGCTGGGAAAACCATCTTGAACTTGTTGTGGATTGGATGTATGCATTGAACAAACTATCTTGCACTGATTGTGAACTTGATGTGTGCATGGAACAAAGCAACTTTTTATCTGTCTGGTAATATGGGATTCTCACTTTTGTGGTGAAACTAGTAGTATGATATTATATCTGGGTTCCATTTAACTGTGTAGAGCATCATTCAATGCTGCTTCTATATGGACTTTACTCAACTAACCCATGTGTTTTATAGCTGTGTTAGCCATATGACAATGCTTGTAAATCTTTGTTCTCTTAAAATTATATATGGTACGTATGTGTTGGAAAACATAACATTGACCAGTGAACAGTGATGATGTGTTTATAATGATTGACATTTGAGCTATGGAACAGCTTATGATGTCAACTATTTGACAGTGGTTTAGGTTTGTTTGGAAAGACAGATTAGTGCTCTACATTTTACTGTTATAGCATAAACATGTCGCTACTTGTAAAAAGTCGATTCCTCATTCCCCTGTAAAAGGGGAATTCTTTCTGTGCCTCTACTCGAAAAGAAAATTTTGTTGCATCGCTTGGCTATTTCCCAATTTTTGCCCATCCAGTCTACTACTTTGCCACAGAGGATGTGTTTGAAGCAAGGAAAGTTTTTAATGTGCGAAAAGTGCCCTTTTTTAATGGGCCTTGTCATTGTACATCTCTTGAAGGTATTTTTGCCCGTGTGACTGATATACAATAATCTTCCTTCTCTCATATCCTATATTTCTAGGTCTTTCTATCAGACCACTTCTTGTGTCTTCACCAGCGAGTGTATTTTTAATTTCACAGGCTCTCGAAACCATAGAAGTTTTGTTGGTTTAAACCTCTTTCCCTGGTCCCTATCAGACCATAAGGCATCTGTATTTTTAATAACCCTCTGTTATTCTCGGGAGGAAAAATGGCAATATTATGGAGTTAGGCTTATTGAACATCCCATTGAATGGTTTTGCAGAGAATCGAAGAAGTTGGTATATATTGCTGAGGTAGCAAAGTCTTAACTTTGCTGTGAAATTGTGGTTTGTATGTTTTTCGACAGCGGTGGTGCTGTGCTCTTATTGCTGACGGCTTCTCAGTGGCTGGTGCATAACAGTTCATTCTCTGATTTGCTTGACGGACAATTTTATGTTTCAGCCTTGGAATGATCGGGCAGATGTCTGGTTAAAAGTGCATTGGCTGGATCATCTTCTTCATATTTCTTTGTTTCGATTATAATGCTTTCTCAAGTATTGAGTCTCTCTCTCTTTTTTTTTTTTTTTAAAAAACGAGAATAATTTTTCAAAAAGAAGGTCGCGATGAGTTGCTGAACACGTTGAAATGAACTATTATTATGCATTATTGAAAAATTGGATAGACACTTTGTTTAGTCAGGCCCGAAATGCATCGACCTCCTTGTTATGTAAAAGATATAGTAAATTATACATATGACCTTCAAATTATGACATTTGTGTCAATTAAGTCTTTAAACTTTTTTGTGTGACAATTGAGCTTTTAAACTCTTTAATTGTGTCAATTAAGTCCTTATGTTTGTCTATATTAGATCTTCTAAAGGAGAGTAGCAAAGTGTGCCACGTCCGTTACAGTAAATTAGATAATGATTTTGAAATTATGACATTTGTGTCGATGAAGTGTCTCAACTTTTATTTTATTTTTTTTAATGTCAAGGTGCCCTTGAATTTTTTAATTATGTTAATTGAGTTTTTTTTTATCTTGTTGTGCCATATAATCACATGAGTAACACACTCTAAAGGAGGTTGATATGACATAAGGGTTCAATTGACACAATTAGAGAATTCAAAATCTCTTTTAATACAAAAAAGTTTGGGGGACTAAATTGACATAAAAAGTTATAATTTGGGGGCCAAATGTATAATTTATTCTAAAAGCAACATCAATTTTTACCCACGATGAATATTAGTGGAATCTGGTTGAATTGGCTTCCAACCTTCCACAAATCCAAACGACGTCGTTCCTACCTGCGAAACACAGCTCGTCCAACTCTTCGCCTTCTTCAGTTCAGACTTCGGACAGACTCAGCTTTTTCTTTCTCTGCTCTCTTCCACAACGTTCTCCTAATATTCTTCTTCTTCTTCTTCTTCTTCTCTCTCTAATGTGCTTGCTTATACACTAGAATGCAATAGCAATGGACGATCTCCCAATACAGAAGCTCCAAATATCGGGCCCCACTCTCGCCTCTCTCCTCCAGCGTTTCTCCTCCTCTCCAGGTGACCTCCACGGCCTCCTCTTAGGACACATCACCCACTCCACTCCCTCTACTCTTGCCGACGACACCATCACCTCCACGACGCCCTCACCCACCCTCATTGCCACCATCACTTCCTTCCTCTCAGCCCCCTCAACCTCCTTCTTCTCCCCTTCTGGACACCTCAACCCCTCTTTTCATAACCTCTCCTCCACCCTCCTCGGCTGGTTTTCCGGCCGCCGAAGAACCCCTCTCCGCCTCTCCCTCCGCGAGTCCTCCATCACATGGTCTCTCTCCTCCAACATCCAGCACTCCATCCCAGTCCAAAACTCTCCACAATGCCTCACTCTCTCTCCTTGTCTCTTCCTTCTCTTAACCACACCGTTCCAAGACCAACTAATCCATACCCACGAATACAAAGCCTTCCAATTTCGCATTTCCACTGGTTCTTTCGAACCCAAAACCCTAGATGTCGTGAATATTGGACCGGCTTTTGGGGGGCACTATACTAATTTTTGCCCGAGCTCGCCGTTCCCCGTGATGGTTTGTGAATGGAGGGGTTTGAATTCAATGGTGGAGGATGAGAATAACCAGAGATTGAGGACTACGAGGAGCTTTTTCAAGGATCAGAAGGAATTGGATTTGGTTGCGGAGGGGTTTGAGATTGGGAGGCTGAGTCGGTTGATAGGGCCGGAGTTCTCAAATTATAGAGCTGACTTGGAGGATTTGTACAATAAAATGCTTGCCAAGCTTGATGGGTTGGCAAGGATGGTGGAAAAGAGTTCAGCTAGGGTTCTTGAGCAGGTGAGGATGTGGTATATACTACAGTAAAGAATTTAAGTATATCCTGGTGATTTTATGTGAATTTGATGGGGGGTTTTCTGCTGGTGGATTGAGAAATTGTGCATACATGGTTTGAAATTTGACAGGAAAATCACAATATGAAACTGAGGTGCAAAGTTGCTGGCTTGGAATAGTTTGTTGATACTTAATGGCACGTTCTTTTGTTTATTAAAGGTAATCTTCTATTTATTTTGTATAATTCATATTGCAATGAATTTTTTACATGGTAAAGAAGTGTATTAATCTGGCATTTTTGGAACAATTGTTAGTAATTGATTGAGTTTTAGCACATGGAATTGTCCATGGCCAACATTGTTTTTATGGGTACTTTTGGTCATAAGACTAACCTTAGTTGTCTCAAACTCTGTTGTGCTAATGGTCAAATGAGTAAAAATATTGTTTTTTTCTCTTGATAAGAAATAAAGATCCTGATTTTATAGAAAGTTGTGAATGTCCAAAATGGTAGATAAGATATGCAAATGAAATACCCAAGAAAATGAAATTCTAATACAAGGTCCACCAGTTACAAACAACATTCCAATTTTGTTGTAGCAACACAAATGAATTGACAAAACTCATTGGATGCCACCAGCCATAAAGATGCTAAAAGCTTCACACTGTCCCCTGAAAATACTCTATTCTTATTTTCCTTCAAAAATTATACTACTACTCTCCGTCCATGCTGCCCAAGAAGAAATCTAATTGATATTTGGCAGGTCTCAAATGTTTAAACAGCCTTGACTGGAATATGCCTATTTTCACTGCCGGTTTACAAAAAGTAGCTACCTTGTGTATATTTTGTTTGATGTGTTAGGTCACCGACATGCATTATAACAACACCATATGGAATTGACAAAGTGGAAGCTGATAGACAATATTCAAATATCCTAGAATCTATTACAAACAAAAAATGAGATCATATTTTTGAATTGCTTGCGAAAATGTTGATAGTAAAGTCTTTGCGTTGTCTTATAGACCCATTTAGAATAAAAGAGCCAAAATAGAAAACTAAATTCGACCTAGAATAGGATCTTACTAATTGAATTCTAACTCCAAAAAATATAACTCAAAATAAAAAATTGCTAAATCTATCCTACATCAGTCTCTCACATAAAAAAAACTCGTCCTCAAGTTTCTATTGCTTAAAATTACTTGGTACCTCTATACCCACACACATTTGTTTTATTTTTAAGATTAATCTCCTCTAGCACTTAGTGTTAAATTTTAACTTCACTAATTTTGCACTATCTAGACCCCCCCCCCCCCCCCCAAATTTAAATTAGATCCACATGTTAGTAAATAATTTTTACTTGTATTAGGCTTCGAGGGAATATGTCATATACTAATGTAGGACAGCTGGGTTTAACCTTGAAATGATGTTCCTAAATTAATAACATGAGAATGAGTGTGAATGTGGAGAAAAGAATGTGGTCTTACTGGAAAGAATGGTAGCAAGGGAAGATTTAACAATCCTGTTTGTATCTCTTTGCCTGACGCTAGTGGCTGATGGCTACATGGATCTTTGATGCAACTAAAGGCCAAATGACAATAATGTAACGAGGTAAATCATTGACCCAGATGATAAGTTATTTCATGTGTCTAAGGTAGGCATTTGTTGATTATTGAAAAGAATTGTTTACTTGGTGTCGTTAATTTAAACTTGAGTATATTTTATTGGAGAGTCTGCAAGTTTTGACGGGGAAAACAAATTGGGAAAGATAAATACCGAACTTTTTTATTCTTGTGCTTTGCATTCTATCCTATATGGATGCATCTTGGTGTACCAAGCAATTAAGGTGTATAGGCTTCTTGGTTGAGCTAGATTTTGCTTAGCATTTAATTTTCTTGGTTGAATCTGCTGCCTTTGCCTTTTTGTTTTTATGAACTATAATATTGTTTTCCTTGTAAATTCCTAACAGCTGGAAAGTGCCTCTTGACGAAGTGCAGCTTGATTTGTAAAACCCAGATTATGGTAGAGCTGGTGCTATTGTCTTTTGTTGCTGGACTTTTAGTGGTCTTTAAGATGAAGATGGCTTAAATCATGGCCCTGTCCTGTTTTTGTTCATACCGGCCAGGTTTATCTGCTATTTCTTCTTGCTTAGAAGCTTATCTGTAGGAAATGAGAAAGAAGAATGAAATTGATCAAGCAGGTTTTTCGATGTCTTGCAAGTGACCCTCATCTGTGTGCGTCTATTCATTCCGTTTGTTTTATTTTTCATTTCTTTCCAATTTCATTTGCTTTTTTTCTTGTAAGGTTAGTGAGATGTCTTGGGAAGCTGTCTCGAGTTGTAAATGAAGCCTGTAGCTGCTTGGATTTTAGAATGTGTAACCCATATCAGAACATGAGGCTTGCCCGTGTATGTAATGTAATTGGTTGACTACTGTAATTACCGGGAAAAGTGTGTTAACAACTATTAGACCAACAGACATTAGGACCCAGTAGGCAACACGCTTCTAACATACGATTGAGAGAGAATAGAAAAGGCTTACATGCTGGAAGACCAGGCTGATATCAGAGTATTGCTTGCTGGTAGAACCACCCTGATCCTAGGAGCCCCTGACAAGTAATCCCAAGCTATGTGTAGGCAGGGAGTTAAAAGAGGTTGACGCATGTGTCTATCCCAAGTGTAATTGAAGGGGGTGAGTAGAATAAGTGGATGGGATGGAAGGAACTCAAGCAATCTGTTAATGGAGGGATAAACCAGTTGGGCAGAGGGTAAGTTAAAAATACTCTCACTAGCTAGAAAATCATCCTCCGCAGTGGGCAAGTAATGTGGGTATTTATAGCACAGTATTTGAGCGGGTCGAATTGCCCAAAGGGTTGCCCGCCGCGACCCCCTATCACTCGCGTTAACCTACAACTGTCTCGAACTCGATGATACCAATGGCCATTAACGGTGAGTTATACGTTCCAACATTAACTAGGTAGATGTGATATTTTTCCAAACATAACCTGGACGTGGCCTTAAGGAAGGTGCGACAGTTAAGGCGAGGGCGGGCTCTTAAGGTCCACGACCGCGACTGGTCATCGTGGGACCATGACCTCGAGAGGGCAATGTCCGCGATGACCTCAACGCGCTCCTACCGGGGGTCCTCCTTTCTCTCTCTAAACCCTTCCTCGAAACTTTTGTTGAGGTGCCCGATAGAAGAAACTTACATAGTTTCGGTCTTTCAGTCACCAATCCACATGTCCTATCATCTCATATACTGATCCGGACCAATAACCCCAGTTAATTTAGAAGTTTTTTCAGATCCCAGTCAAGCGCATCCCAGCTGGTAGTGAGCCATACACTGGAAAGCTTGCTTGAGCAGACTAAACTTTTGAGACTCTACCCCAAACCGAGATTAACAATCATGCTCATCCACCTTTATTGCTTAGTTTTTCCTTGAGGAGGGTCGTACTTCCATATCCCTAGGTGGGACATCTCCTCTTAGTCAATTGGGCCAATCGAGCAATGGTGTCCAATAGGTTGAGGATACCATTCTCGCAGTGGGGGATACGAGTTTCGTTGTGGTTGCCCTATACTTCTGCAATACCATTCCCGCAAAGGGGCGTCGCACTAGTCACCGTTGTCTATACCAATCCAGTTGAACTTTGCCGGGCCCCCATTTCCATGTCAATTGATAATTGTTGCCACTTGTCCTGTTATGGTGGAGATGTGTGTCCTGAAATTTTTCGAGTACTACATTTGCACCCTGTGCGCGTTATAGTTTTCAAACTAAACATGTGGGCCATACTCATTAAATCTCCCATATTTTTCAAACTAAACATGTGGGCTATACTCATTAAATCTCCCATATTCCTTCTTTACGTAACTCCTTCAAAGTGGTGTGGTGGACCCATTACCCATTTACCTATGCTTTTGTTGACTTTTCCTTCCAAAATGACATTTTCCTCATGATAATTTACGCCTTGTCCGTGTCTTTATACTTGGACAACTGAAGACACCGCCGGTCTTCAGTATTTAATACCTACTGTGCAGTCGTTTGGGAATGGAGAAGTAGACTCTCTCTAGGCTGGCGCTTTTACAAAACAGGTTGACGAGGTAGAGTGTTGCAGCGTCTGACTTGGGAATGATTGGACTGTTCTGCATTAAATGTTAGCCGAAAAGAAAGGGTGATTTTGGTCATTGACACGGCTGCTAATATGACTAACATGACTGGTCGCTGCAATTGCTTATCTCACGACTCAAAAACTATCCAGAACACTTTGGATCGCCTGCTTATCTTGCGACTCAACAACTATCCAGATCACTTTGCGTACTGCGCCTTCTTAGTTTTTTTTTTCTATAAATTGAAGACTTCTGCATTCACTTCTCATTTCTTACTCTTCTTTCTCATTTTTTCGCCGAACCTTGGCACCCTGCCTGATTCTCTTGCAAGTGTTAACACTTTGTTTTTTTTTTTTTTTTTTTTCAAATATCATAGCCTTACACATTTTTTTCTTGTTTTTTTAAGACTTTTATCCTAGCTCCCTCTTCCTAGTATATGTTTCTCTCTACTCTGCCTCTTCCTTTTTTTTTTTTTTTAGTATCTAGCCCCATTCATATATATATTTTTGTAGCCCCCCCCCCTTTTTTTTTCCCTACCACTCATATATTTTTTTTTTGCTTTTTCTCATGGCCGATCATCGTCACATTCGCGCGGGTCTAGTATCTCTGTCTGAGGAGTGGTATTGCGCCCCCTTTCTTGGTGGTGGTGTTGACCAATTTATTGAGTACTTCCGTAGCTATGTGCCCGAAGGGGAGGAGCCGACCCATCCATTATTTCTAGATCCTTCTACGCATCTTTATAGGGCCCTTGTATTGATCCCAAGTTTGTGTTTCGGAGCCTTTGGAGAGAGGAGACGATCCTTATTCTTTTATTGACTTTGAGACCTCATCCACTCCTTCTGCCGGCTGGCGCAAGTAGTCTGACCGCATTCTTGCAGATGGGGCATTTTGCGAAACTCTAGAGTCTGTCGGTATTATTTCTGCTATAAAGTTGTGCCGCAAGATTAGCGTCAACCGACGTAATGCCAGCTTATTTTTTTTTGATTTTTCGCTGGTGTCGTGAGACTCATACTTTCGTCACTGCTTGGGGTGAGTTTATCCCAACTTTGGAGGATGTCTTGATACTAATGCAACTTCCTATTTTTGGAGATTCTGTTTACCCCTCTAGAGATTCTACTCCTGCTGAGGCGGCCGCATTATCTTACTTATTTGACCATTTTACCAATGCCACAATGCTTCCTTCATCTTTTGGTGTTGGAGGTAGTGCTGGCGGGAACGAGTGTATTTACATATCTTGGGTGAGGTTTTTTTTTAGGGACATCGAGCCTGTGAAGAACAAGATTATGAGCGTGTTGGCCAAGGTGGCCCTAGATCCCGGAGTGAGCATGTCTTGATTGGCTTTATCGCAATGTAGTTGACGCGATACGTTACACTGGAGCCCCTTTCTGATGGTATCAGTATTAGCGTTTTTCCTCTGGCTGCTAGGTTGGCTCGCGGTTGCGTCGTCCATTTGGCTCCCTTATTTCTCGGGAACTTGTACCTTCACCTTGATGAATTGCAGAAGGCGACCTCCATTTCGATGGGGCGTTACGACATTAGTAGTTACGTCTCTACCCTCTTCTTACAGCCCTTCCTACTTGAACGTTTTCCGGCATCCGCCCCTGAGGCCAAACGACCTGCTGATGGTAGTCCTTCTCCTTGGGGACTACGGTGGTCTGATTGCCCCATATCTAGGTCGGTGGGCCCCTTTCTTGATGATGAGTCAGATTTCATCTTCCACCCTTACGCGGTTTATCACCCTTTGGTCAAGTCACCTTCCTATTATCACGCCGAGCTCGTAACTATCACTATTGATGTCGTTGAGACCGTGATCGTCTGTTATTTTGATTTTATTACTTGCTCCACCAAGGGGTACCTTCCTTTTGCTGGAGACCGGGGCACTGGGCTTGTGGCTTATAACCTACACTGGGTGGCTCTACAGTTCGAGTTTGACCAAGATGTTTCCTCTACTTTAGGGGACGCCCCTAGTTACATTGACACCGTGCACTGCTATTTGTTTGCCAACAGAGTCAAGCTACTTGAGGACAGAACAATCATTATTCCTTCAGCATCCAGACTTGGTGTTTTTACGCCAAATTATTGAATTTATTGGGCTGCTATGGCGTCTTCATTTTTATGTTTTTCGGAGACTAAGGCCTATGTATTGCCTCTAGATGCGAGCAGTCAAGACTTTCACTGCTTGAGGAATTTCAAGTCCAAGGTGAGGACCATGGGGGGTTTGAGCGAATTTGCCCTGGTCGACCATCCACTTAATCAAAGAAGTGTTATGGGAGAGGGCCCCTTGGAGATCCAGCCATGACGAGACCCTTCTCATTCGTGCTAATGAGCGCCTCCTAAAGAAGTCTCGACGAGTTGTCTTGGAAAAATTTAGTGATGTTGGGCCTGCTAGCACCTCTCACTCTGGTTGTCTAGCACATAAGACTTGATTGCGGCAGCTAGTTCCCGCGCAGTCCCTCCCTCGTGTTGCAAACTCTCATTTTCGTCGTCTGCGGAAGGTAAAACCTCCATTCTGTTGCTTGGTGTTTTGGCCCTTAGGATTTTTTTTGATACCTCCCCCCTTTTTTTTAACCGCGTACATGTACTTATATATTTACTTTCACCAGGGTCTTCCTGCACGAGAGGCCGCTAGAGACATAGTTTGCTGTCTCAGGACGTCCTTTAGCACAGAGGTCATAATAGGTGAACCTCTTGTGACATCTCCTACGACACTGCCTCCTCAAAGGGTCTACATCCTTTGTGATTCTAATGATGATGACTTGTGTATTATCAGCACTGTTTTCCCTGGGAGGTAGCCTTCCATCCTTGCTGCTGCTTCGCACGAAGATGATGATGCTCAGTCTATAGACCCTAGCATTGCTGAAGGGTTAAGACCTCTTTCCCCTGGCGTCGTGCAACGGATGGAAGAGCGCCAAGGGACTATTGTCTCTTCCGTAGTACACATTTAGACTGTTCCTTTTGTTATTTGTTATGTTTCCCCTCATCCTAGACTAACATTTTTTGCCCTTTTTCTTCTCTATTTTTTTTCCAGGTTTGTGATGTTGGCACAACTTTCCCTAAGAGTCGGTCTTCTGATTTTGTACGTCATGTTAACCTTGCGGGGCAGTTTGACTATAATGGCGCTGATAGGACGGGTAGTCTAGTGCCATCTCTCTCCTCTAGGGGAGGGGAAGCGCTTGACGAGCCCACCCGTTTTGGTCCTATGACCCATGAGGGTGGCCTTGGGAATCTCGATCAGGTAAGCCCCTTCCCCTTTGGCCTGGACTTCTTAGATGCAGACTTTTCTGGTCTTTCGCTCAGTGACATTATGCTTTTTCAGAATGACTTTGGTGATAACTTTTTTGC